ATTCAGCTCCCCTTACTGCAAATGCCACCAACTGGCATCATAATTCTCAGGCTCATGATTAGTTTGTTCAAGGCAGAATGATTATCTCCTGGGCTCTTATAGTTGGTGGGGCCTTAAGTAAACAATTTCTGTTCTTGCAGAGGGCAATCACTGGGTCTCTGGTGGCAACCAGTCTGGGGTCTAAGTGGCCACAGTCAGCAATTTGTATCTGGTGGATTTCATATCTCGTAAAACATTCTAAGAATTTGAGTTAAATTTGAGTCAAGTGGGGTTTTGGGGAATCCTATGGCTCTGACTCAAGGAGTTTGGTCCCTGTGATCGTGTCACATCACTGTGTTCTGAGCAAAAGGTGAAGATGTTGTGGCAAAGCCAGCTAATGGCCAAACCAGACATGGGCTTCCCTGGTAGCTTCTAGCCTGCTAAGTAGTGGTATGCCTCCACGGCTGGGCCATAAGGGGACTTTTAAGAAGTCCTCAAGGGTCAGGGGCTGGTTGCCTTGGAAACTGACCATGTGATTAGAGGTTTAGCACTTCCAGTCCCACCTCCAGCCCCTGGGAATGGGAGATGGGAAATTGACTTGCTCACTTGTGATATGTATTTTGTACTGTTATGATTTTCATTGAACCTAAAGATGCTTACAATGTATTTATGGTTATGTTTTTGATAATGCTGACTCCATATTTGACAATACTGACTCCACCTGTTAAGAATTTTACCTTGTGGGGAGCCAGCAGTTAGCATAATGGCTATGTCACTGGACTCCCACGTAGTCGAACACGGTTCGCATCCCGGGCCCAGTGGCTTAAAACTCACGCCGGGCGCGTGTTCATGTGTGCCCAAGATCCCGAGAGGAGAATGGAGGAGAAGGGATTGTGGTGTGGCTATCCCCCCAGGGGGTGATTTCTCTTTTTCTGTCTTTCTGGCAAGCACCCTACAGCAAAAACCTATCCAAAAAATAAAAATAAAAAAAGAAGAATTTTACCTTGTTGCACTAGTTGTAACTGAGCCAATAGCCTGGCTGATGGCTACTTTGACAGCTGTGTGTTGGTATGCAAATAAAGTAATTAGCATTTGGGACTTTGCCCTCCAAACTTGCCATCTGAGATAACATGTCATTGAGACTCTAAGTACTACTTCTTTTAAAATGTCATTTGAGGAGCTGGCAGGTGCTGTGGTGGTTAAGGCTCTGGACTCCCACATGACTGACTGCAATTTGAGTCCTGGACCTGGCAGCTTGCTTTCTCACTTTCTTTCTCTTTCTCTGGTCAAGTCAAAAAGTAATAAAAATAAAATAATTCTTTTTAAAAATGAAAATTGAGGCACATCTTGCTGTGACTCAGCTCTTTGAGAGTATTCATCTAAAATGGCACCAGTACCAGGTACTCTGCCTGGGTAAAAATCCCCTTGACTTTACTGTTGATGACCTCGAGGAATCTCAGACCCATGTGAGTGAGTGCCATGTTGAGGAGGGTGGTTTCCGGGATCACATGAAAGCTTCTTCCACAGATGCATGATGTTTCGATCATTATTAGCACTTTATATTCATGTGATTTTCCTTCCCTTCACTGTTTTTGGTTTGTTTGTGTTTATGTTTGTGTTTTTGTGTTTGTTCTTGTTTTTGTTTTTGCTATAGGGCGCATATGCTTACCAGAGAGAAACAGAGAGACTGAAAGAAAATGAGAAATCAGCTCCCAAAGGAGATTGGCCATATGCAGCAGTCCCTCTCCTACATTCTCCTCTTGGGATTTTGGGCGTGCACACCCACAATCCTAGCATGTTATTCAAGTCACTGGGTCAGGGACTTGAACCATGCAGTTGGCCCTACATGACTCAGCACCTTAACTACCACACTATCTACTGGCCTTTGTTGTTTTTTTTTTTAAATCTATTTGACCTTTTTTATTTTTTGCTTATTTCCTTGCTTATGTGTTTGTGCATGTGTTTTGCAATAAACCAATTTATTTGGAAATTGTTTTTGTTTTATTTGGCTTGTCCTTTGATTTGGGATAAAGTAAGCTGTTCTTCTCAAAGAGAGGTTAAATTGTCACCAGGTGTTGGGGAACCAGTTCACTTCTGCTGGGCCCAGAGCAATATCACCAATCGCCAATGATGGAATCAATTATGCTCGTGTACGCTGGAGAGCTGGGTGGTGTGGGAGTAAACCTCCATACATTTGGTGTCAAGAGTGTTGAGTGCGTATGGAAAAAGGCATTTTTTAAAATTTTAGGTTATGAACCATTTTTATGGCATGCGCTAAGTTTGGTAAGCATTTAGATCATTGTCTGAAATACAGCAAGTTGTACACACAAGGCTTTTGGGTGATCTTTGTTGGTTCATTTGGGAGGGGTACTTTCCTTGATAAAAAGCTTGGGAATAACAGGTAGCAATTTAGTAAAATACCAATCATAGGAAAAATAAAATCCAGTCAAGCAAAAATAGAAACTTTCCAACCAACACATTTAGAATTCCCCCTTTTATTAAAACCAAAGCGATCCAGGTTTTCCCATCTTTACATGTTGCTCAGAATATAGTGGGGTGACAACTTGATCACGGGGACTGACTCTTCCATTTCCTGTTTATCTCAATATGCTCCTAATGTGACATTTTAGGTGGCTACTCAGGAGTTAAGGATAAAAGGAAATATGAGGGCCTGGAGAAAGAGTTCGATGTAGTGATTTACAAAGGAGAAATAAACTGTGATCTTGACTCGATTGAGAGATGGGAGAGGTATGTGTCAAAGATAATTACTTTGTAATCTTAGAAAGAAAAGCAGAGAGCAGTCTCTCTACTTTTCTTGTCAAGAATGGCTTCCAATTTAATGGTAGTAAAACCAGTTCAGGGGCTTGGGATGCCTACAACAGCAAGAGAAATGCCCAACATTCTTCTGATGGTATGAACTGAGACATCCAAATGACAACTGCACCTTCTAGCAATTTAACTGCAAACGGAAATCCGCAGCTCCAGCACTACCTAGAATTCTAGGACATGCTCAATGCTCAGGTGGGACACACGGTGGTCAGTCTCTTTGGGACCCTAATTACAACCAATAATTGCATAAAGGCCTCCATGTCACCCAGGCGAAACGTGGGCCAGTCCCTCCAGCCTTCCTTAAATTGCCTTCTTGTAAAGTGTTGTCACTTCTGGGGTTGTCCTTAATTTACCAGGATGAAAACAGGCAGTCGTGGAAAGCAAATGCAGCAGGTCTTTCAACTTCCGTCAGGGAGGAGGCCGGACTAAGCAAACTTTCCAAACAACAGGAGAAATCAGCTTTTACTCTGTGGCTCTCATGAGTTTCCTAAGGTCCCAGCGCAAGGTCATCCCCAGCCTTGAGGACCTCTCGTTGGCCCCTTTAGAAACATGGGTCCACCCACCTGTGTTTCAGGCACGAGTGAATTCAGTTTACACAGCCGGCACCGTAGCTTTGCCTGCGTCTTAGCAAAGTTATTTCCACCTTCCGTCTCCATCTACACATGTGAACTCAGGTCCCATCGATATACAAGTGTAATCTGAAAGTTCAAGGGAAAATGAAATCAAAAGACAGGTTTATTTGGTTGCAATAACTTTTTAATCCATGCACAGTCTTTTCAGAATATGTATCTTCATAAAATTTTGAAGACTCCTTGTATTTTAAATAACCTTCTCTGAAAGGTGCCAGCTTTCTGCTGGTATTTCGTAGAGGACATTGAACTCTGTAAATGCACTATAAGTAAATAAATCCCAATCACTGTTATAAAAAAAAAAAAAAGTCCTGTTTTTGTTTTTGCTAAGTCATCCTTACCTTTGAATTTTCAAAGGGAAACACAAAGTCAGTTTGGCTGGATTAGCCACTTTGCTGGAATTTCAGACTATTTGGTTCCAAATTCCAAATGTGGTGAGCTTCAGAGCTACAAGCATGGTTTTTGGTCTAATTTTTTTTAATTGCCAGAGGATATGTGCACCCCCAGCAGGCCCTCTCACCACAAGCTCTCTCCTCCATTTCTCCATCAGGATTCTGGGCACACAGGCGCACATAACCAGTGTGTTTCTCAGGTTGCTGGGATCCGGATTCAAACTGCAAGGTTTACTGTGTGGGATCTGGCAGCCTTAACTACCAAACCACAGAACTGGCCCCAAGGAGAAAGCTTTATATAGTCTTGTAGTTCCTGAAGGGAGGCCTTGGCCCATTCTGGACCATAACCGTTCAGATCTTAGTGTGCTGGTGCAGGTGTTACTGAACTCAGACCAAGTCCACTGGCCCAAGTGCCACAAACCAAACTGTACAAAGGCATGTTCAAAGGCTTTGTTTAAAACTTGAGTCAGCAGTGGGACCAACAAATGGCATAATGGCTATATCGCTGGACTCCCAAGTAGTCAACTGCGGTTCAAGTCCTGGACCTGGCAACTTAAACTCACACCAGGTATGTGTGCGTGCGTGCCCAAGATCCTGAGAGAAGAATAGAGGAGAAGGGATTGCGGTGTGGCCATCCCCCCTGGGGGGGGGCTGATTTCTCCTTTCTGTCTCTCTGTCTCTCTCTGTCTTTTTGGCAAGTGCAAAAACAAACCACCCCAAAAAAAAAAATCTCTAAAAAAAAAAAAAAAAAAAACTTGAGTCAGCAGAAAAAAAGGTTGAATCTTAACCTTAACATAGATAAGAGTTTTACTAATTGTCATGGGACATCATACCAGAGTGAGAATTTGAGAAGTAGGTCACAAGTACGGAGATGAGATGGCCTACTCGGTAAGATTGATGGCAGGTAGGTGTGGCTTTCTCTAGGCTTCTGAGAATGGAATTTTACAGCAAACAACACATGGCCAGAGTTTAGTCCTCAATGTAATGAAAGTTATGTAACTATGGTCTCTCTTGAAATATCTTGTTGTACTGAAATTCAGGTAACTGAAACTATAGATAGGGAAGACAAACTATACCCACTGTGAGCGTGAAGTAGAACTCAGGTACAGACTGACTTGAATCATAGGAAAAATAAAATCCAGTCAAGCAAAAATAGAAACTTTCCAACCAACACATTTAGAATTCCCCCTTTTATTAAAACCAAAGCGATCCAGGTTTTCCCATCTTTACATGTTGCTCAGAATATAGTGGGGTGACAACTTGATCACGGGGACTGACTCTTCCATTTCCTGTTTATCTCAATATGCTCCTAATGTGACATTTTAGGTGGCTACTCAGGAGTTAAGGATAAAAGGAAATATGAGGGCCTGGAGAAAGAGTTCGATGTAGTGATTTACAAAGGAGAAATAAACTGTGATCTTGACTCGATTGAGAGATGGGAGAGGTATGTGTCAAAGATAATTACTTTGTAATCTTAGAAAGAAAAGCAGAGAGCAGTCTCTCTACTTTTCTTGTCAAGAATGGCTTCCAATTTAATGGTAGGAAAACCAGTTCAGGGGCTTGGGATGCCTACAACAGCAAGAGAAATGCCCAACATTCTTCTGATGGTATGAACTGAGACATCCAAATGACAACTGCACCTTCTAGCAATTTAACTGCAAACGGAAATCCGCAGCTCCAGCACTACCTAGAATTCTAGGACATGCTCAATGCTCAGGTGGGACACACGGTGGTCAGTCTCTTTGGGACCCTAATTACAACCAATAATTGCATAAAGGCCTCCATGTCACCCAGGCGAAACGTGGGCCAGTCCCTCCAGCCTTCCTTAAATTGCCTTCTTGTAAAGTGTTGTCACTTCTGGGGTTGTCCTTAATTTACCAGGATGAAAACAGGCAGTCGTGGAAAGCAAATGCAGCAGGTCTTTCAACTTCCGTCAGGGAGGAGGCCGGACTAAGCAAACTTTCCAAACAACAGGAGAAATCAGCTTTTACTCTGTGGCTCTCATGAGTTTCCTAAGGTCCCAGCGCAAGGTCATCCCCAGCCTTGAGGACCTCTCGTTGGCCCCTTTAGAAACATGGGTCCACCCACCTGTGTTTCAGGCACGAGTGAATTCAGTTTACACAGCCGGCACCGTAGCTTTGCCTGCGTCTTAGCAAAGTTATTTCCACCTTCCGTCTCCATCTACACATGTGAACTCAGGTCCCATCGATATACAAGTGTAATCTGAAAGTTCAAGGGAAAATGAAATCAAAAGACAGGTTTATTTGGTTGCAATAACTTTTTAATCCATGCACAGTCTTTTCAGAATATGTATCTTCATAAAATTTTGAAGACTCCTTGTATTTTAAATAACCTTCTCTGAAAGGTGCCAGCTTTCTGCTGGTATTTCGTAGAGGACATTGAACTCTGTAAATGCACTATAAGTAAATAAATCCCAATCACTGTTATAAAAAAAAAAAAAAGTCCTGTTTTTGTTTTTGCTAAGTCATCCTTACCTTTGAATTTTCAAAGGGAAACACAAAGTCAGTTTGGCTGGATTAGCCACTTTGCTGGAATTTCAGACTATTTGGTTCCAAATTCCAAATGTGGTGAGCTTCAGAGCTACAAGCATGGTTTTTGGTCTAATTTTTTTTAATTGCCAGAGGATATGTGCACCCCCAGCAGGCCCTCTCACCACAAGCTCTCTCCTCCATTTCTCCATCAGGATTCTGGGCACACAGGCGCACATAACCAGTGTGTTTCTCAGGTTGCTGGGATCCGGATTCAAACTGCAAGGTTTACTGTGTGGGATCTGGCAGCCTTAACTACCAAACCACAGAACTGGCCCCAAGGAGAAAGCTTTATATAGTCTTGTAGTTCCTGAAGGGAGGCCTTGGCCCATTCTGGACCATAACCGTTCAGATCTTAGTGTGCTGGTGCAGGTGTTACTGAACTCAGACCAAGTCCACTGGCCCAAGTGCCACAAACCAAACTGTACAAAGGCATGTTCAAAGGCTTTGTTTAAAACTTGAGTCAGCAGTGGGACCAACAAATGGCATAATGGCTATATCGCTGGACTCCCAAGTAGTCAACTGCGGTTCAAGTCCTGGACCTGGCAACTTAAACTCACACCAGGTATGTGTGCGTGCGTGCCCAAGATCCTGAGAGAAGAATAGAGGAGAAGGGATTGCGGTGTGGCCATCCCCCCTGGGGGGGGGCTGATTTCTCCTTTCTGTCTCTCTGTCTCTCTCTGTCTTTTTGGCAAGCACATGCATCCTATAACAAAATATCTCTCAAAAAAAAAAAAAAAAACTTGAGTCAGCAGAAAAAAAGGTTGAAGCTTAACCTTAACATAGATAAGAGTTTTACTAATTGTCATGGGACATCATACCAGAGTGAGAATTTGAGAAGTAGGTCACAAGTACGGAGATGAGATGGCCTACTCGGTAAGATTGATGGCAGGTAGGTGTGGCTTTCTCTAGGCTTCTGAGAATGGAATTTTACAGCAAACAACACATGGCCAGAGTTTAGTCCTCAATGTAATGAAAGTTATGTAACTATGGTCTCTCTTGAAATATCTTGTTGTACTGAAATTCAGGTAACTGAAACTATAGATAGGGAAGACAAACTATACCCACTGTGAGCGTGAAGTAGAACTCAGGTACAGACTGACTTGAAGGTTTCCTGTGACTCTGTGGGAAAAAATAGAAGAGAAGCTGGGATACTCTTCCCAGCTGGGACCTGGGCAGAGCTACTAGTGGACAGGACTGAACCTCACAGGCATCCACAGGAAACAAGGACATGCCAGGAGGCAACATCAGGAGGGACACCGAAAAGAAGGGAGAGTGCAAACCTGGGGCATCAAATCAGACCCTGGAGAGAAGCAGAAATGTCTGGTCTAGAGTGAGGTCAGAAGCAATGGTCAGAACCTAGCCCAGATAAGGGCATGGAGACTGTGGTCAGAGTCTGGTGACTGAGCAGCCAGGGTGCAACCTCCGCACCTTCCTTTCTTTCTTTCTTACTTTCTTTCTTTCTTTCTTTCTTTCTTTCTTTCTTTCTTTCTTCTTTCTTTCTTTCTTTCTTTCTTTCTTTCTTTCTTTCTTTCTTTCTTTCTTTCTTTCTTTCAAGAATTATTTTTATTGAACTTTATCTATTTATTTTAATTTGACCAGAGAGGGACAGAGTGAGAGAGAGAGAGGGAAAGTAAGAAAGCAAGCTGCCAGGTCCAGGTCTTGAACCATGGTCAGCCATGTGGGAATCCAGCAGCCTTAACCACCATGCCACCTGCCAGCCCCCAACCTCCACACCTTTCAATGTTCTCCCGGGACCGAGAGCAGGATAAGGCAGAATTCTTGTGCACAGCCATTCGATTCTTTGGTCGATTCTGTAGCTGCCAAGAACTAGGAGGTAGAGAAGAGTTAACTACTCCCCTGCAATGTCATTATTGGGTTAAACAGAATTCTGCCCCACGCGGAGTCGCTTATTAGGCAGACATTTATGAACAAGCAAGTATAAAAGCAGTTCACGTACACTGTTCTATAAACTCCATGAAATCCCAGCTCTCTGTAGTTGTAGGTGCTCTGATCTCTGGATTTAAAGATGAACCTGGGGAACCAGCAGTTAGCGTAATGGCTATGTCGCTGGACTCCCACGTAGTCGACCGCCATTCGCATCCCGGACCAGGTGGCTTAAAACTCACGCCAGGCGCGTGTGCGTGCATGCCCAAGATCCCGAGAGGAGAATGGAGGAGAAGGGATTGCGGTGTGACCATCCCCCCTGGGGGGTGATTTCTCGCTTTCTGTCTCTTCATGATTATATTTAGATTATTTTAGTTTATCTACATATCATTTTTTTTGGAGAGAGTTTTGCTATAGGGTGTGTGTGCTTACCAGAGAGACAAAAAACAAGAAATCACCCCCCAGGGAGAATGACCATGCTGCATTCCCTTCTCCTGCATTCTCTTCTCGGGATCTTGGATATGCATACACTCCCAACATGAGTTTTGAACCGCTGGGTCCAGGACTCAATCCATAGTCAACTCTGTAGGAGTCCAGCAATGTAACCATTACGTCATTTGCTGATCCCTCTACATATCTTGAATACCACTGATTCACCAACTCCTAGCACCCAGCATGCCAATTATACAAGGTTCATTTCATCGGTGAAAATATTTTAGTTCACACCGGACATTTGTTTACAGGAACTGTTAGATTGGTTTCTAAGTTACAGCAGAGTTGTAAGCATGGCTTATTGTTTGGTTCTTAGTTTACCTATCGTAATCACAGGTGTCATGAGCCTATTGACTACCTGTTGTGAGTTGAATTATGTCCTCAGAAGTATATATTGAGGTCCCAGTCTTCTACCCTGTACCTGTGTTTGCAAGCTTACTTGGAAACAGGGTCATTTAGACATAATCAAGTTAATATGATAAGGATAGCCCTAAATCCAATGACTGGTGTTCCTATAGAGAGAGACAGAGACAGATGACCATGTGCACATGGAGACAGAAGTTGGGAGGAATTCCAAGAGTGCCAGCAACCACAGAAGTTAGGATGACACAGGACCAGCTGGTGGCACAATGGTAACAAAATGCTCTGCAATGAGGACCCACATTGGGAGGTCCTAGGTTTGCATCCTGAGGCCACCCTGTACGTGCCGGGTGTGTACACGTGTGCCCATGATCTGGGTTAGCTGAGGCTGGAGCATGAAGACCCTGTGGGAGTACCCATGTCTGTCTGTCTCTCTCTCTCTCTCTCTCTCTCATCGAAGAGATAAGTAAATAAACTTTGCTTAAAAGTTGGGGGGGAGAGTGGGAAGAGACAGAATTCTTCCCTAAAACCTTGGCTTTAGACTGACAGCCTTCAGAACTGTGAGAAACTCATTGTCTGTCCCTTTTCAGCCTGCGGTGCTTTGCTGTCAGCCCTGGGAAGCTAACACGCTCTCCTGCCCCCATTGTATTTATTTCCTAGAGCACCTTATGTCTGATGTTAGCGTCTGTTGGCTTGTTTGTATCTGTTTCTCTCTACTCACATAGAAACTGTCCGAGCAGAGATCCTGCTTGTCTTCTTCATTTTTGTACCCACCACTGTATTTAAGGGGTTTGGCTGTAGTAAGTGCTCAGTAAATATTTCTGGAATGAATGAATGTATATGACTGTATTCGTTTCCCAGGCCTGGCATACAAAGCACCATGAACAGTGTGGTGTATAACAGCCGACTACATAAAAATGTATTCTCTTATAGTCCGGGAGCCTAGAAAAAGCAGCAGTTCTCAAAATAGGGTGGGCAGGAGATTAAAAACATACATGGAGTCACTCTTTGATTAAAAACATACATGGAGTCCCTCTTTCCAGGAAGACATAAAATGAGCAAGTTAAAAAACAAAATGCTGGGACCAGCAGTTGGCGTAATGGCTATGTTGCTGGACTCCCATGTAGTGAACCGCGGTTTGAGTCCCAGATCTGGTGGCTTAATCTCACGCCGGGCATGTGTGCATTCATGCCCAAAATCCTGAGGGGAAAATGGAGGAGAAGGGATTACTGTGTGGCCATCACCCTCGGAAGGTGATTTCTCTCTTTCTTTCTCTCTGTCTCTCTCTGTCTTTCTGGCGAGTGCACGCTCCCTACAGTAAAAACTTCTAAAAAACAAAACAAAACAAAACAAAAAACACAGCAACAAAAAAAAACAAAACCTTGGGTGATAGTGAAGTGAAACTGGAAAAACACATGTAGTGAGGTGTCAGGATCCGGGACAGTTAGACCTAATCTAGTGAAACTGATATAAAGGCTTTGCTGCCCAGTGCTCACACACCTGGTTAAATGCAACAGAGCCAGGGAAGGTGTCCTCTAACTGAGGACGTAACTGAGTTTTCTTCTTTCTTTCTTATTTATTTTTTGCCAGAGGCTATGTGCACTTGCCAGAAAGAGAGAAAGAAAGAGAAAGCACCTCTCCCCCATGGGACGTGGTAATGCCACAATTTTTTTTCCTCGGTTTTCCCATTCTACCAGAATTTTAGGCATACACACACACACACACACACACCAGCTAGGATTTTAACCAGACAACCATGTGCATGTGGGATCCAGCTTTCTCTGCACAGCACTTAACCACTGTGCTGGGCTACTGGCCCCATAACTGAGTTTTTAGTGCACTACTCTGTGGTGATGGAGTCCATGGTAGAATCAGTAAATCCAAAAGGCAACTGTTTTTTGCATTGCTTCTATTACTATCAATGAGCGTCTTGCTCAGAATCAATTTTGAATGAAAAACATTACCTCCAGTAAGACATTTAGTAGCAGGGACAAGCAAAAGCACAGTGCATGGGAAATCAAATCCAAATCTGGAAGGCATGTGTTCCACTGAGCACAAGTTGCTGCTCCGGCCGTGATGAAGGGTCCATAGTACTAACATGCCACAAGGTCGCTGGATGACTCCCCTAAGCAGAGAACGTTGTTGAGGTTCCAGGGTTGAATGCTGCTGTGGGCAAGTTGCACAGCAGCCGGGCCAGCTTAGAGAGGAAAGATCTGTGTTATGGTATCTGCTTCCACCCCTGGTACCTTCGTCACTTTGCTTACAAACTCACTGAGCAAGCCTTTGAAGGAGCTGAGTAAAGCGCTGTGAGAATACCTGATTTGGAAATATCTTCATCAGCTACGGACTTCCAGTGGAACAAAAAGATGTCTCACTACTTTGCCAAAAAATTCATCCGTCCACCCATATATCTCTTCCCTATAATTTGTTATATGTCTTCCAGACATTAATTCCTATCATCTGGCTCGCGCTTCAGCCATGATAGAAAAAATGAGAGAGAAAGAGAGAGAATACATAGAAGCAAAAAGAAAGAGATGAGGGAGAGAAGGAAGAGGGGGAGGGAGAGGGGGAGGGAGGGAAATGGCATATACTCTTACCTCAGACCATGCCTTCGAGGTGAAGTGGATGATCATAGGCTTGTATCAGTCAAATGTTCACCCAGGAGGAGCATTTCCCATCAACTCATTCAGATCTTCCCTGTGTAGCTGATAACACAGGGAATAATCTCTCTGATACAAGCATTCTGGGCAAAGTCTATTTCTTCCTGTCCTGTCAGCATGATGTTGTCAATGCAGTGGGCCAGACTGACACCTTGTGTAATACGGAGACAGTAAAAGCCTCTGCAAATTAAGTTGAGGCATAGCACCAGAAAATTTGTCATCTCACATGACAACTTTGAAGGGAGGCTGTGTTTTTGTCAGATAAGAGCCAACCATCTTTCATGTGGACTGTTTTTTGAGTTGGAGGAAAGAAGTCTCCAGCTCACTGGCTACACGTCGGGTACCAGAGGCTGCACTGCTTCCCTCTAGGAAAGGAGTCTACCTAGAACAGCAGCTGTAATTAGAGTTACGACCTGACCAGGTTGACAATCACCCACTATTTTTAGTCCAGATTCATTTGATTTCTGCACCAGCTACACTTGGAGGTATAGTTTAAAAATTCCACTTATAAAAGAGTCTGTTAGTTATTTCCCAATGTCTGTTCTTCTCATATTCCTAATAGTAGAGCCCTGGTTTGCAAATTGACACATTGTCCCTCTCTCCCTTTATAGCTAAGAGTAGCCATTTGACTAAATCCTGGCTAATGGAATGTAAATGGAAGAGTGAGTTTACATTTGAGAGTGGGTGTGAGTTTGTGTGTATGTGTGTGTGTGTGTGTGTGTAGGGGGGAAGACTTAGTCTCATGTTTTTGATTCCTGCAAACTGATATGGGGATGTAATTGTAGGCTTTCTTTTCTTTCTTTTAGAGACATTTTTGCTTTAGGGCAAATACTCTTACTAAAGAGACAGAGACAGAAAGCGTGAAATCACCCCACCTCCCCCAGGGAATGGTCATGCTGCCACCCCTTCTCCTCCATTTTCTCCTTGGCATTTTGGGCATGCACGCACATGCACTTGGTGTGAGTTTCAAGCCTCCTGGCCTGGGACTCAAACCACAGTTGGCCATGTGAGAGTCCAGAGATGTAGCATTATGCCATCTGCTGGTCCCAATTGTTGGCATTCTTGCAGCTGCAAAACCACAGGAGTAGATAACAACACCTTAGGACAGATGATGGAAAGAAAGTTTCTGTGGCTGGGAAGATGAAAAGAAATCAAAAGAGTTGAGTGAGAGGAGACATCCTGTGAGGTGGGAGGAGAACCCAAAGATAGTCACGCTCTAGAGAACAAAAGAAGAAAGTGATTTAAGAACAGATGCTTGGGACCAGCAGATGGCATAGTGGGGTGGACAGAAGTCTGACTACTTTTCCTATTTTTCCAAAATCTTTTCAAAAGGGGACTGGGGGGAACCAGCAGTTAGCATAATGGCTATGTCGCTGGACTCCCACGTAGTCGACCGCGGTTCACGTCC